TAAATGATTAAAATCAAAATAAATCAAATAAATAAGAAAATAATTCATGGAGGGTTTTATGGGTCGTGGACCATGTTAGGATCAAGCTCCAAACTTGAAAAGATAGGACCACGTGGGAAAAAAATTCAAACTTGGGCATTGTTGACTTCATGCAATTTTCAAAAATTGACCAACTTTGACAATGCATATCTCTCTCAATTTTGACCCTAAGAGGGTGTTCTTGGACTTTTTATAAAGCTTAGGATGTACTCTAAACAACCCTTTTCGTTTCATCGCCATTGGGTCTTCCATGTTCATGTAAGAAGCTTTGACCCAATAGGTGTTTTTGCTGACCTTTGAAAAGGACCTATAATGTATGAACTTTTATCTTTTGATTGAGGCATTTCTTTACCTTGAGGGATGAAGAGAAATTGTAGGGAATTGGATTCTCTTCAAAATGAGCCTTGGTTGATAAATCTTTGATAAAGTATGAGAAAGTTATGCCTGGTCAAAGTTTGGTTGACTTTTCCAATAGGAACCCTAAATTGCCATTTTTGACTTTTGATGAGTTAGGAGCATTTCTTGAGGAATCATGATCAACCCTTGATAAAATGATGGATAATACTTCAAAATGTTGATGTTGTCCAAAAATCTTGAAGTTTGACTGTATTTGGGCCACATTTGACTTTTGACCTAGTACGGTTGATTTTCAAGCATTTGAGCAGTTGACTGAGCAAACTTGTTGTGCAAGGTATGAAACTTGTCATAGATGATATTGAGGACATATTAGGAAATTGGATACCATTTGGGACCCTTGGAACTCAAACATCTTGATGAGGAGTGAAACCCTAGTTTGAGGCTTATTGTCTTAAGAGGAGGATTTGTCTGGTCAATCCTTAGTCAACTTGAGCCATTGAGGACCTCTAGAAGTACGTCTTGTGTGAAAATTGGGGTACAAATTTTGGGGTTCAATTTTGAGTTGACTGATTGTTACTTGATAGTTTGTAAAGTTATTGTTCTCACTCTAGATCTTTTAAGAAAGGTTTGAGTATTGTATTTGAAGTGTAAACTTCTGTTTTAGTTTGGTTTCCAGTCACTGGGATTGTGGTTGTAGATATCATTGTGGTGATTATAAGTGAGAGAGGATTCTCATATCTAGGAGGTTCCTAGGTAGAAACTATATTGGGTAGGGATTAGGTGATGAGTTGTAAACTGGAATTGTTTAGTCTTAGAATTAATACTACTAATAGTGAATTTCCTTCTTGGATTGGTAGCCTCTAGATATAGGTGAGTTGCACTGAATCAGGTTAACAATTCATTGTGTTCCTTTACCTTCTGCATTTAAATTCTAGATAGTTGTTAATTTGGTAAAAGTTCTTTCAGTCAGCAGATGTCATAACATCTGTCATGACATTATGCTTCTGTGTTGAGATATTAGTTTTGACATTTATGTTGTGTATGCTAGAATTTCAATTGGCACTGGAGCACGCACCCTATTATGTCTATTGGGTGAGCTCCAGGGAGACTATTTTCTGGTACTATGGACAAGATAGGAGGATATGTCAACAAACCACCTATGTTGGATTGTGCAAACTATGTCCATTGGAAGGTTAGAGTGGTAGTCTTTTTGAAATTCATGGATATAAAATCTTGGAAGGTTTTGTTTAAAGGATGGCTTCATCCTATTGTGAAGGACACGGATGGTAATGATTCCTTGAAGAAAAAATATTATTGATCCATAGAAGAGGATGAATTATCTCTTGCAAACTCCAAAGTCTTTAATGCTCTATTCAAGGGAGTAGACAAAGATTCTCTCAGAAAGAGTCGGAGGCACCTATGGTTTTTATCTGACTATTGATGGTAGTTATATGTTCCTAAGGTATCTTTTCACATTAAAAATCATCAATAATGGTGGTTTAAAGTTTTTTGGTACTGGAGCACCCAAATATTTTTCAGAGTGAGGGTGAGGGTTCAAGCAGGCCCGACCCCGAGGCAGGGCAAAATGGGCCACTGCCTAGAGCCTCCAAAATACAGAGGCCTAAAAAACATTACTAGTATTTATATAACCAAGTTAAAACAATATAAATAATAAGGCCAATCAATAATATTTCCAACAAAATAAAAGTAACCTAATAAAAATATTTTCAACTTTTTCAGTACCGTTTTATCTCTCTCAAACAGAATATGACCTCTTTTTAATGTTAGCTACACTGATAAATGACTATATTTGATATTGTTGATGCTATTTACAATTTAATTAGATGTAAATATTTTTTTAAAAACAATTGTATTTTTTATTAAGGGTCAATTTTTTATTTGCCCCTGGCCTCTAAAAAGTCGGAACCGGCCCTGAGTCCAAGACCTCATCTTTGACTTGGATGTCTATGTGATGTTGCTTCTGAAGGGTCAGGACATTCTCCTCCTAAGCTTGGTTGGAACGACACAACTCTTTCATAGTTGGGTGCATCTTTTCTAAGGCCTTATTGTCGGCGCTGCTGGTTATAGTGCCACAACGTCATGCCACCTTGTTGAAAAAGATGAACTAAGAGAGTGAAAGTCGAATGTAATAATGTCATGGGTTAGTTTTATCGAAATCTACAATAGACAAAATTGTACTTGCAAAAATACAATAAGGGAACCTTGCTTACATGGATGATCACAAGAGAGTTTAAGTGTGTTAAATATGTAAAATATGAATGAATTCTCCCAAAACTCGAGATTGAAATATTTAAATATCTAACTTATGGTACAAACTGAGGTGTGAGGAACTGTCAGGCCACACCTGCCCAGAAGTATAATGTCTTTATATGTTGCTTCTTGGGGCGACTGAGTTATGGTCCATTTTCTTCTAAAACTCAATTAAAGTTATCTCACTCAAATCTAATTCTTTCAAAATTGTCATGATTTGTTTAATTCTTACTCCCTCTGGTCTTTTTTATAAGCAAAGATTCTCTTTTTAGGTTCATTGAATAATAAATCTATCTAGTCTACACAGATACATTCATTATTCAATAAACTTAAAAAGAGAATATTTACTTATAATAATGACCACAAGGAGTATCTATTACTATTTCTCGGTATTTATTAAAGAATTGAACATGGAACCAAATGATTAAAAAGTAAAGGCAAATAGATGACATCACATGATTAAATGATTAAACATTGAACATTGAACCAAATTATTAAAAAAATATATGTTATATGTGAATTTAGATAATTTAAAACGAAAAAAGAAAATATTATTTTAACAAACTCCTGATTTTTTATAATGTACCTACAATATCAATGTTTATTTTTTAAATTACTAAAATATTTCTAGAAATATATATATATATATATATATATATATATATATATATATATATATATATATATATATATATATATATATATATATATATATATATATATATATATAAAATTTTAATAAAAATATTTACTAATTATTTTTAATTTATAATAACTGAAAGTAGTAAATATTTTATTTATTCTACACTAATACATAAAGAGATATTATTTTTGCTATATTTTATACTCTGAAAATTTACTCCTTTTTCCTCTGATTTTTTCTAATTATGTTGAAAATAAATATAATAAATTTTTCATAAAATATAAATTAAACAAATAATATATTTCTAATTTTTAAATAAAAATGTAAACAATATGAATAATATTTAACACTAATGCATTTAAAACTATTTTTCTTAAAGTTAGGGATGTAAATGGATACCCGTGAGAACGGATATTATGATTTTAGTATCTGTCCCGTTAGATAAATATGATATTCATATCTGTTCCATATTCATGCGAGCTAAACGGATAATCCGCGGATTTTAAGGTATCCACAAATAATTACAGGTATCCATGAATAATATTTTTTTCTATATATTTAAAAAAAAATATTTTCTATTTCTTTTAAAGACACAAAAATTTATTATCACTTAACATTCACACAAATCTCTTATTTTAACTACACAATTTTATCACATTAATTTCCTTCATTTTCACCAAAACATAATACCCGTACATTTTATTTTTAACTAAAAATGAAAGATATTGTGATTATGAGTTATGGTGAAAGTGTAGAAAGGAAGACACTAGTTAGACATGGAAAGGGATTGGTTTGATAGTGGAATTGTTAAAATGAGGTATGGAGTAAAGAAAAAGTTTAAATATGAAACGTCCAATATGATTTGTATGAAATGTTAAAGATTTTCTTTAAAGAAAACTTCAAAAAATATATGAAAAGACTAATTTTTTAGAAGATGAAAAACGGAGTATAATAAACTAATATTTAAGTAATTTTTATAATTTATTAATGGATACGGATATCCGCGAACATGAATATTATCAAACTTGTATCTATATCCATTACTAAATAGGTATTTAAATATCTATTTATTTTATCTATGAATATATATTAAGCTACTCACCCCGTACCTATGACATATTTTATTCAAAGCACAAATTTTTTTACTATCCCTACTTAAACTAAATCACAATATAAACATGGACAATCACCAACAAATTCTAAACTCTACCAATAATAGCTTTCACACATGCTTTTGTATACCTGCAACTAGAATTTTATTTTGATGCTAAATGAAATACATTTCTTGTGGATAAAAAAACACGATTTCTCTATGCATGCTAAAAAGCCAATTTTTCATGCTCTTTTTCGCCTGTTACATTTTAATAACATTAAAAAAAGATCATAAGAAAAACATTACAAAAAGGGGGAAACACGTTATTTTAGTCATGTAACTGATTTTTTTGGTATACAATATTAATGTAAGTGATTTACTCACGATATTATTCATATCCTCACGTTTAAATGACCCGCATATTAATTAAAAAATGAAATTTGTTCAACATTCTAATAATTTTTTTTAAATAAAAAAATAATTCAGTTTTCCTTTAAGAGCAACTTCTGCCCCATATCACTTCTATAAATTTCAACCATTTTCAAAACTAAATTCATCTATATTTCTCATCAATAGCCTTTTGCAATAACTAAAACAATGGCAACAACAACTCCAAACAAAATCATCTCGTTCACAATACTACTTTTCATAACCATGAACATAACTAATGGTCAAGCTCAACCAAATCAATCCACTTTGGTCTTCTACCTACAAGATGTCGGAAAAGGACCTAAGGCAACCGTTTCACCGGTTATAGGCATCAATGGCAAGGTTTGGTCATATAACACATTTGGAACAATATTTGTTGTTGATGATCCTGTTACAATTAGTCCTAGTTCATATTCAACTCAAATTGGAAGGGCTCAAGGTATAATTACCGTAACTTCTCAAGATGGTGCAAATGTGAACATAGTTTTGTCAATTGTGTTCAATAATGCACAATACGCTGGTAGCACTTTAGAAATTCAAGGTACAAGTCATCAAAGTGATAATTTAAGAGAGCTCGGTGTTGTTTCTGGAACAGGAAGATTTCGATTTGCAAGAGGATTTGCTGTGTTTGAAACTATATCTTATGATCCTACCTATAGTCAATCTGTTATTAGGTTGACTGTAACATTGGTCATTCCTTGAAAATATATGTCTTATTATATGGTTAATGCTTGTTATAGAACATTATATGGGTGTATCATGATACAAGCTTCATATATGTACCAATAAATTAAAACAAAGAGCATCATTTGAACCTTTTATCTTATTAGTAGTATTTTTTACTTATTAGTATTATTTTTTATTCAATGTCCAACTTGAATTTTGATAATACAGACTAGTTGAAAAATATTTAATCGATTAAATTGCACATCAAAATGTTTAATGTTTATTGTCATGTAATTTTAAAATTCTAAATGTAACAATTTTGAGGCCAAGAGGATGCTTGCAGAGGCATTTTAAAAGTTGATGTTGGAGTTTTGTTTTTTATTTTGTTTTAAAATTCTAAATTCCATAACTTTGACACCAAGATGCTTAATTGTAGAGGTATTTTAATGGGTAATGTTGAAGTTTTATGTGTGTTCATTTTAAAATCGACTATCAAATGCTCACTCAAAATTTTGAATCAATATTTTGAGGAATTACTATGGATTTAGGCGTGTTTGATGTAGAGTATATTATCACTATTATAAAATGTATAAATAACTCTGATTTTAAAATGAGTTTCACTGCAATTAGTGATCCACAATAAAGAAGAATGTGATAGAAAATATGTTACTTTTTACTACGAGTTAATGATCGAGGTAAAAGACTGGATATCACACAATTTTTCAATACGGTTGGGCCTTCCAACTGTAGTAAAAAGTGGCTTGGTCATAGTTTTCATTCCCTTTATTTTTTTATAAATATGGATGCATGAACTTTTCCTCACAGTTGTTATGATTATCTGAAGAGATAGGTGTGTTGGGGACAATATTTCAACATTGTTGAATGGTTGGAAAACCCAACCGTGATGAATTCCATTATTTATATATGTTGCTCTTTTATTTGTCATATGCGAGTATACATGTATGTTTTAAATGCATCAAGTGATAAAAGTAAGAATATCATACCCTTACAGAGTGAAATTGTTACTTAGATTGATTTTGCTAGAAACTATATATTGAGATTAAGCATGAGCATAGAGAGAAATAATAATTGATTATCACAAGTTCTGTTTTCACATAAAACAGATCTAAGACAATGTAAGGTGAGAGTGGAAATATATCCAGACTGAATGTGTTGAGCTATGATCCATTAATATTGTTGATGTAAATATGTGTTCATGATGTGTTGTGTCGTGCTAGACAAGGTCAGAGTGATCCTGGGATGTATTTATACAACATCAAATCCTACATAAAAGGACAAGGGAACAAATCTCTAAGTCTCACTTATAACCCTATCATACATCTTTTTGTATTATGAATTTCTTAACAGTTTTAGTTATTTATCTATAAGTGAACTAAGTGAATAAATATCTCTATCATACCCGTTCCAACTATGTTTATTATGAAATCAACTTGTTCTTGGATCTCTCACAACCACAAGCTTTTATCTTTCTCTAAGTTGATCAGTCAAAGAAGAAGATTTAAAAAAAAAATTATCCCATAATAAAACAAGGCACTAAACAACACATCATTTAACAAAAAACAACTTAATATTAACTTCACAAAGCTCAACTGCAAGAGGTTTAACTCATTATGAATTGAGTACAAACTACAAGCATAGTTCTCAAAGGATACATTCTTATACAAATAATGAGAAATAAATATAAACCTCAAAGTAACTTGAAGACTCCCTGAAGTGGATAATCGACAAGGTATGACTCCAGTCGTGCCAGAACTCAACAATCGGTACATGATTAGGTGAAAAGAAGAAAACTCTCTTTTCTCTCCATTATCCTAACACTATTATATTATGTATTTTCTTGGAATTGCTGAACTCTTTTCATTCTTATAAAGGTCCTATATATAAGTCTTCACTAGGGTTTCTTATGATGTCTTGAATCATGGACCCAATATAAGGAAGTCACATCAAGCCCATTCATCAATCAATTCCATCACCTAATTTCTTCTGCTTATCCAACTAGGAATTAGGTACAAGTGAAAAATTGTGGGGGACAAAGCGTCCCGTGGCAGATTGCAATAGTAGTGGTGCAGACGGTGCATCAAAATGCACATAATACTATTGTATTATATTTTGTCTTCTAGTGCCTTCAAGCATTTTCCACTTGTTCAAAATATTTTTTTTCTAAGCACAATAAAGATTCCCTTTATTGCAGCCATTCTTCCACGTTTGTCCTAGAAAACCAGCTGAGTTCACCATTTTTCTCCCTTAGTTAAGTTCAACTTTTGCTTAAGTTTATGCTCACTGATACTGACCACTGTAGTCTTGCATCAGCTTGACAGAGTTAACCTTAAATCAAGCACAAACGCATCAAAACAATAAAAGGGAGCATCTATTATGCTCCAAGCTAATTACTATAAAAACAACTAAAATGAAACAAATCAATAATAAAAAAGAAAATTATCTACTTATTAAGGAAAGCTTAAGGTAATTATTAACTCACAACATGTGGGTTAACACACCCTAAACTTGAATCATTACATGTCGTCAGGCGGTGCTACAGGAAAGGATAGAGAAAACCTTCCAAGTAACCATCCTTTCAAACAACACTAACTCACTAATAACTCATAAATTATCTCAAGGGACTTGTTTCAAAAATTGGTACCATTCAACCCTGAAGTTTAATCACAAGTGTGTGTGTGTGTGTGTGGGGGGGGGGGGGGGTGCTATTTATATCACCTATGCACCTTGTCACACTAGAAGTCTTCATTCATGATAGCCATCCTAAGTTTAACTTTGGTTACCTTATCCTATGGTCCAAGGTTTCATATTTCATCTTTAGGAGGGCGGTCTTGCCTTTCTATTTTAAGACTTTTGTACCTAGGAACACACATGCATTTTTTAAAAGAAAATTTATAGATGCCCCACGTTTTCACCTGATGGGATCTCACTTGTAATGACTCCAACCTTTTACTAATGATGAAGATAAATATTGTTCCTCCAGATTCGGGCAGATGAACTGTACCTTCCAACTCGGGCACATAAACTTATTAAAAGGATTTTCTCCTCCAATTCAGGCATATGAGCTTATTATGAAGTGCATTTTGGCTTACTTCATTTACACACTTTGGTGTGTTGATTAACATATGTAGTATGTCCAATGTACTAAGTCTTAAACATAAGTGTTAACCTCCCCTCAAACTTGTCAAAAGTTGCCTACTTTTTTTATTACTAGAGGTGCGACATGGGTTATCATTAACACAAGAAGGTGAAATTGATCAACATCAAGACTTTGTTTCCAATATTGTCACTGTCCCAATAGGTTTTTCCTAAGTCTTCTAGAGTTGTCTATCTTATGGGGGTTACCGTTAGTTTGTTTCTCTGTTTTTATTATATTGTTTTAGATACTAAATAACATGAAATAAAAACTAATTAAACCCGAATAGAAATATTTTCATTAATCAGAAAAGGAAACGACTCCAAGAAGCCAGACAACGACACAATATTAAAATTAGAAAATAACAAGAACTTAAACTAAACTAGCTGAAAATATGATTGGTCGATTGATGGGTAGGGTCACAACAAAAGTCATTACACCCCCATACTTAGAGTAAGGAAAATGTTCTCACTGTCAACAGATAGAATTGGGCACGCCAGTGTTTGCCTTTTCTTACCAACTAGGGTTTTAGCCTGTTGCTCTTTCTCACAGGATCCTTGTTTTTCTTCTTTCTAGCCTCTTTCTAGGTAGACTATAGTAGAAATGTCTTCTTAGTAGTCTTTGATGCCTCATGGACAACTTCTATTGTGACAGATGTCTGCACCTTGACTGTCTTGACTGAGACTTTCTTTGGAGGATTTGGGTTGGGGCTTTATTGCTGATTTGGCCTTGGTAGGGGGAACCCTTCTTTTGAAGACTTTTTGGTCGGTGATGAGTGTTGACCTTTGCAGGCTTCTTCATCTTCTCAAGAGTGACACTGGGGTCACATCAGTACTCGTCTCTTCTTCATACAAATCCAATTTTTGTAAGCTGTTAGATGAGTATTTCTCTTCTTCTTCCAAATTCTCCTTTTCAACTACTTCATTTTTAACCTCGGCATTTCTCTTATCATCCTCCTTTTTCCCATCCAAATCAACTTCAAACTCTTCTTCAATGTTGTCTTTTTGAGATTTGTCATCCCCGTTAATGTCATTCTCAGTATCGCCATCATTTTCCTGCATATCTTCTTCATTGTAAATCTCTATATCATCATTATTTTCCACTTTCTCCTCTTCAACAGTATTTTCCATAGTATTATTTTCAATAGTTTTCTCAACACCATTCTTCTTATTCTACACCCTTTCAGATGCTTTAGCCAATAGATCCTTCTTATCCTTAGAATATTGATTCAACAACTACTTCAAGGTTTTGTCATCCGCTCCTTATTATTTCATGATTAACCCTTAGCTTGCAGGCAGGATAGTGCTTGTCAATGACCTTTCTCACTTTTTCCTCATCAATCAAATCATCTAAAAATTTAAACAAACTAGAAATAAAAGTTAAGTTGGGCTATCACCCAGTAATTCTATTTTATAGTCTTATATCCTGACTATAACTCATATAAAGAGGATTCATGTAAATACAAATTGATCATTGTGTTATGCAAGGATTCACCAAGATACGTCTTAACTCTTTGTCCATTCTCCTTAAATTCTTCACATGTTCTTTCATTCAATAGTTCAACTACCCCATGGGGTAATCTTTATTCAATTTGAAGGGGCCAGACTACCTAGATTTAAGTTTTCCATGGAAAAGCTTAAGCCTAGAATTGAGTAAAAGAATATGTTGACCTTCTACTAATTCTCTCATCTGGAATTTCCTGTCATGCCACCTCTTTGTCTTTTCCTTATACAATTCAGTAATTCTCATATGAGAATATCCCATGCTCCTCTAGTTCAATGATTTTAAGCATTCTAGCTTGGCCAACATTAACTAAATTAAAATTTAAAGTCTTAGTAGCCCAGAATGCTTTGTGTTCGAAATCAATTGGCAAATGTCATGC